GTCCCTCCTGCCCTTCTAGGTACATTTCCTCAATGACCCTGTTCAACTACAGAGCTTAGGGCTAAACAAGCAGAAGGGCACAAAGAAAGCAGCACAGTTTTCGTGTTGGATGTGCACGTGACACATTTAGCAAGGACATAGCACAAGACTCACCTTCTACCCCAGTGAGAGCCTAAATCACACATTACACGGGTATACTCCCCCTCCCACTGCCTGCCCACAGCTGACGTTTGTAACAGCAGCCCCAGAACAGCCAACATCTCGGTTGCTTTACTTTTATATTAAGGCAGAGTCTTCAAATCTGAAAAGTGCAGGTGCTCGAGCACTGGAAAAGAAAGGACTCGTTTCTCCCTCACCTGCTGTCATCAAACCAGACCGGGATGCCTTTCGGGACAATCTACCTGAGGCCATGCCTGTTTTAGGCTCCTGCCACCAAAATGGTTTTAGGAGAGAGAAGTGAGGCAAAAGCTTCTTCCACAGCCATAAGGAGCAACATTTTTCGTCTTTACCTACGACAGATCTTGACTGTGGTGGTGAACAAAGAACTTCATTGCCCCAGCACAACACCAGCTGCATCAGTACCAGAAGTGTTTATTAGCACTGCATACTGATACACCTCCTGCAGCAAGGCACGTCCTCTGGAGATGTGCCTCAACACAACCACCATAAAGCTGCTCCATTATTCATCCAGGACTTTGCAAACCGAGAATACAAACTGGACTGTGACTGCCAAAGACTGAGAACCATGCCTGCTGCAGGCTCCTTCAGCTTTTGGTCAGCTTTGTGCCCATCTTTTAAGAGAGAGGCCGGCACTGGATGCAATATCCCAGCGCTGCTCTTGCCAGCTGCTTTTACAGAAGAAGAATCGTCTCCTGACATCTCTGTTTAATGTGCACACAGCTGTTTTGACATTCTTCAGCACTGAGACACTCGGTCATCAGACGCTGCTTGTCCAATGATTCAAATCCTTTTCAGGATGGAATCTCTTCACTCTTCCTTCCTGGGCTTGCATTTTCTTTATTTGCCATTCTATCAGTGAGCTCTAGCTGTATCTTATTTTATTTTCAAGTACTCAGTTAATATAATGACATTAGTTAAATGCCTTACACACACTTTAGGTGCCATATACTCTTACAGGTTACAGTTGTCAAGTAGGATGAGGTTTTAGAGAACCTAAATGTTAAGGTTTGGGGCAGGGTACATCTCTTCTGAAAATCAACAGAAGACACAGCCTTAAACCCTACAATTGCTTTGGCTGTAGTTTAGACAATTTATGCTGCCGCCATGATTCAACACAGCAGTCCTCTTCTCCTCTTGCCCTTGTGCCAGCATCCACGTTTATAAGACTGTGTCACAAACCAATCAGCCTGAAAGACATCCTAAAACATGGAAACGGCTGCCACACGAGGAAGAAGTGACAGAGAGCAGCCAGGAAGGCCCGGGACCGCTTCTAGCAACAGTGGCAGATCAAGCTACTTGGCGAAACTGTCAGCGAGCTGTCCCTGCGGGTCACTGGGGACCTCCCACCAGTGACACCCTCCCCAGGTGGGCTCTGGTGAGGAGCCAGCTGTGCCGATGCTGCGTTTCTTGGTTAGTTTATGGATCAGTGCCCTGGGCCGGGGCAGCCAGCAGGGCTGTAAGTCAATAAAGCCGTGGCGTTGCCAGGCTGCGGTCAGTCAGGCACACGGCGGCCGAGCTGTGTTCACCCAGCTGGGCTTCAGCTCAGCCCCTCGAGCTGTCCGGTAGCAGGGCAGCTGGGCTGCAGGGCTTCCCGGCAGCCGGTGCTCATCATCCCCGTCCCCAGCCCAGGCCGTGTCGCCGCTGTCACTCGTGGGCCACACGCTCCAGTGCCACGTAGAAGCTGTCCTTGTCGTCCAGGCAGTGCCAGCCGATGGGCCCCGCCTCGCAGTCGGCGCACACCAGGAACTTGACGTTGCCCACGTCGCGGGTGAAGCCCACGTTCTCGAAGGAGAACATGTCGCGCACCAGCCAGTGCTCCTGCACCACGTCCCCGCCGCTCGCTGCCGCCGCCGCCACCGCCTTCTTCTTCATGGCGGGCAGGAGGAGCTGGGGGGGGGGGAACACAACATCACCACCCTGCTTGTGGGGGGCACCGCCACCTCCCTGCCCCCTGCACCCCCACCTCACTGCCCCCCATTCCCTCTTTCTACCTCCCCGTCCCCACCTCTCTTTCTGCATCCCCTACTTCCCTCCCGCCGTTTCTGTCCCCCACACCCCTTCTCTGTCCTTTCTATCTCCCTGTGCTCCCTCCCCTCTCCCTGTGCCCCCCACACCCCTCTTTGCCCCTCACATCCCCCCTGTGCCCCCCACACCCCCTCTGTGCCCCTCCCTGCCCCCCAGCCTCCTTCTGCCTCCCCCCACCTCCCTGCCCCTCTCCCCCTGCACCCTGCCCCTCTCCCCCTCCTCCCTGCCCCCTCCCCTCTCCCTGTGCCCCCCCATCCCCTCCCTGCACCCCCTTTTCCCCTCTTTTCCCCCCTTTTTCCCCCCCTCACCTCCCGCCGAGCGAATGTGGCGGCGCCGGGCAGCAGCACCCTGGAGCCGCAGCGCTGGCACAGCACCGCCTTCAAGTTCCGGCCCTGCGCGCACACCAACTCGGCAGAGCCCGGGGCGGCGGCAGGAGGAGAAGGAGAAGAAGGAGAAGAAGAAGAAGGGGAAGGAGGAGAAGGAGCAGCAGGAGCAGGAGCAGGGGATGAAGGCGCCGCCGGCTCCATTCCGGCGCAGGCCGCCGCCATGGCCGCGCAGGCGCGCTGGGGCCGCCGCCGCCCTGAGGCGCTGGGCAGGGAGCGGAGGTGGCGCCGTGCGCCTGCGCCGGGCGGGGCGGTGCTGAGGGGGCCGCCTCACAACGCCCCCCCCTCTGGTCACGCAACAGCCAGAGCACAGCCCCCAGGGTCACCCCCAAGCACAGCACCCCCCTTAGAGCACCTCCCTCACATCACCCCACACACATCACCCCACACACTTCGCCCCCCTCGGGTCACCCCTCTCATATCACGCCCGTGTGGCCGCACCCAGGATCACAGAATCACAAAATTTCTAGGTTGGAAGAGACCTCCAAGGTCTCCCAGTCCAACGCCTGACCTAACACTAACAGTCCTCCACTAAACCATATCACCGAGCTCTACATCTAAACGGCTTTTAAAGGCCTCCAGGGATGGTGACTCAACCACTTCCCTGGGCAGCCCATCCCAGTGCCTCACAACCCCTTATGTAAAGAAGTTCGTCCTAACATCCAACCTAAACCTCCCCTGGCGAAGCTTTAGCCCATTCCCCCTCGTCCTGTCACCAGGCACGTGGTAGAACAGACCAACCCCCACCTCTCTACAGCCTCCATTAAGGCAGCTGTGGAGTGCAATAAGGTCGCCCCTGAGCCTCCTCCATGCTGAACACCCCCAGCTCCCTCAGTTGCCCCTTGTAGGACTTGTTCTCCAGGCCCCTCACCAGCTTCATTGCCCTTCTCTGGCCTAGGTGATCCCCAGACCCCTTCCCACCTCGGCCATTCTGTGACCCCGTGAGGTGGAGGGAGCCGTTCCTACGTGAAGTGGGGCAGTTTCATAAGCTGGCAGCGACCAGTTGGCAGCCCAAATCTGTTTGTTTGCCAGCCAGCTGGGCCCTGTGGGGACAGGCAGGGCCTGGCTCGTGGTGTCTGGGAGGGACGGAGGGCAGGGGGTTCCTGTGAGGCTGCCGCGGGCATTTGCTGTGACCCCATTTCTGAGAGCCTGGGCTGAGGACAGTGTGGCTCGTGGAGGCACAGAGGGAACTGTGGAAATGTGGATCCAGTGGGGAAAGAGGGGGGAAGAGGGCATTGGAAGGGCACAATAGTTTCCAGGACAGGAAGATGGAGCTCCTTCAGCCTGACCCTGAGCAGACAGCAGCTGTGCCAGTGACTCTGAGCAGCTCGGCAGGAGGAGCCCAGGTCCTGAGGCCTGGGTGGCTTAAGCTCACCCATTAGTGAGTGTGAGGCCCTGGGGGTTTGTGCTGATCTCAGGACCAGCTGGGGGCCCGCTGTTAGCTCTGCTGGAAAAAGGGAAGTGGCCCGGTTGATTTGAGCCACTGCTTTGTTGGGGGTACAACACAGAAGAGCCCCGGTTCTGGCTTTTTCCTGACTGTATTATAAACATGCACCATTCTCTTGCTGCCTCCTGAATGGCTGCGCCTGAGATCTTTCAGGAGGAGCCAGAAAAGGGAGCAGATGTTCAAGGTACTAAATAGGACACAGGATTTCATCAGAAATCCAGCTGATGAAAGGCTCCAGCTTGGGAAATCCCAGAGCCTTGGCTGCTGTGTTATTGACCACAGCTCCGCTCTCTGCCAGGAGCTGGGAAGTGAGCGTGGCTGTTTGACACAAACCCATCGTCCTGTGGATCCTGTGGGTGTGAGGCAGAGCTTGGGCATCGGAGCTCCTGAGCTATCTCTGGGCTTGCAGGGCCGAGGAGGGTGGATGCAATGAAGGTGGTGTGAAGCTCACCAAGACCCGCTGTGAGCAGCCCCAAGGCACCCACTACTCCAAAGAAGGCTGCTGGGGCAGGACACAGCAGCTTGTTTTAAAATCACCAGCAGGTTTGTAGAGAGAAACCAGGAGAGCAGTTTGCAGCTACGCCAGTGACAGCTGAATTAATACTGGGCTCCATTCATCCCACTCTTCCATGGTGGACAAAGGAGCTGTTATTTTTTGCAACTGCAGACTCTGTTACAACAGTATTATCACAGGGTGTTTTCCTCATCTCTGCTGCCACTCTTCGCAAGCACCTCTTGCAACAAATTAATTCTCAGTTAGCACATCCTCCCAGGCCCCACTGGCTTTTGCACTGCAGATCCCAAAAGGATGGAGCCCTTGCTCTTTAATGCCACTCAGAGACCTAAGCAGCAGGGCAGAGGCACAGCTGAAGGTGGCTGCCTGGTCTTACCAGGGTTTTGTACAAATCCTCAGCGTGGAGATCAGGCAAATGTCTTGAGGGTAGAGAACAGAAGCGAAGCTCCCACTGGCTCAGGAAATATTTTATTCTTTATGTTTTCATTAAAAAATAAACATAGGAAACAAAACCACAGAACACTTGTGTAATAGAAACAAACGCAGAAGGTCAGAGCGTTGGCTGAAAGTGCATAATTAAGTCATGCTACCACATCCCTGATCCCACCCTGTCCCCTAAGCAAGGAGTCAGCAGTAAGCTCGACGAGCAGCACTACACAGAGCCCAGGCACTGCGGGGGCCAAGCTGACGGCAGAGGAAAGCCCGCGCTGCCAGAAACACAGCAAGGCAGGAGACATGCTGGGGAGAGTGCCCCAGGGAGCCAGTGGTGAAACGCTCACCTGGGGCTTGTGGGGCAGGCAAAGAACAGCTGGTGTAAGAGGATGTGGAGTTAAGAGGCAGGGGAGAGCTGAGAACACAGGGGCAAAACGGAACCCTGGGTGTCACTCCAAACCGCGCCTGGAAGCAGAAAAATCCTGGAGAAAAGGAAAATCAACACAATGAACTCGACTACAAGGCTGACGTGGGTGTGCTGGACAGACACCTGTCCAGGGAAGAACCGCAGTCACTCGCCAGCAAGGTCGACATAGACAGTAGCAATTGCGTCCCTACGCTCAGGGCCTCAGCCTCTGTGAGGTGACCTCCCTGCAGGGGTAGGAGCAAAGGCACTGCCTGTCACAGCAAGGCTCCTGCTGCCAGAAAATGCAGCTTTTTGCAGCTGGATCTGTCAAGCTTCTCAAGGGAAATGTGATGTGGTGAACCTCGGTGAGTCCCGTGATTGGAGCACAAGTGCTGCAGATCCGCCTCCACGCTAGGCAGTGAGTTTCTCCCCCCTGCCCTTTGCCCCCAGCAGCCTCAGGCTTTTGGGTCTCAGTAGTTGACAGCTTTAATCTGCGACTCCTTGTGTGCAGACCCGGGAGGAACCTGCGGATGCAGCTCCAGTGCAGGACCCCCTTACACATGCTCACTCAATTTGGCTCTGCACAGATACGTGCTTGAGGAGCAAATTAAAAACATTCAGTATGTACAAGATGATTTGAAGCTGGAACATAAGAGCAGCTGGATTCCACCCGCACGCGTCCATGTTGCTGAGAGCAACCAGAGGACCCGCACGGTCCTGCAGTGGCTGAAGATACCCCCAGTTGTGTGTAGATGTCCTTGGATTTTCACCACGTTGGCTGATGCCAATTCTGGGGGCACCCCGGCTCTGCTGATAGAATTAGCCACAGGAACAGCAGAGAATGCAGCTTCTCCTGATCCACTTCACCACCTCTCTCCAGCTTCACGCAGAGCCCCCGATTTCAAATGACTGCTGAGATAACACGTTTATGCACATGCTCTAGTCAAAGCAGCACAGAAAGCTGCTGTTCTGGTGCCTACTTCCACAGCATCCACACCTCTCAGAAACAGTCACTGCAAATCACTTGGGACTCTTCTTCCAGCAGAGACTTTTTAGGGTGTTCTTCTTTGTAAGCGCCCTCCGCATCACTTCTCCCGAAGGACACAGACTCCAGCATCACACCGCTGCATCCCCAGGGAGGTCACCACCTCCCAGTTGTCGATGATGGGATCGTAGCACTCAATGCTGCTCAGCAGGGAGTTGCCATCGTACCTGCCAGGACAGAAAGTTACAGGTGAGGGATGCTGCTGCAGGAAGAGGTTGAGGCGTTCACAGTCCTTTCTGGGAGGCTGGACGGTTACATACAGCAGGGACAGCCTGAAATAAAACCATTTTATGAGGCTCTCTTTTGCTATCTGCTGCCACCCTCCTGCCTGTCTTGGCCCTGAACCATCACACTGCCTATATGGGCTGGGAGAGGCCACCTAAAATGTGGCAGCAGGTCGCGCCACCTCAAATCACTCGCACCTCTTCCAGCAAGCAGAGCATCTTCCTCTCCAGCCCAGGGCTGTCTCTTACCCAGCGATTGCATACAGCCTTCCCCGCAGCACCGTGGCCCCGACGTAGCAGCGGGGAGTTGTCATGCTTGTTACAGTTGTCCAGGAATCAGTGCGAATGTTGTAGGCTTCCACGGAAGAGAGATGTGCTGTCCCATCGAACCCACCAACTACATAAATATGGTCATTCAGCAGAGCCACTCCAGCCCCTGGGGAGAGAGAGGAGGATGGAAGAGTTACAGCCACGACTGACACTGTCGGCACTGTGCCCAGGGCTTGCTGTCAGCAAGGCTGAACTAGGTCAGTTCTTCCTCTTCAGAGGATATCTCCTTATGCTTTCATCTATCAATAAATATATGTGTATTAATCTATATATAAATATAAAAGAGAATAAATATCTAAAGGATCACTGAAGAGCTGCTATCACCCATTTTGGTGCCTCCAAAATGATACACGGAGACCTCAAACTACCGAATGCTGCTGGATCTCCAGCTCCAGGGGATCTGAGCAGCACTGCAGCCAGGGCAGCAGGAGCAGGGCAAGACGTTCACCCTGGCTGAAGGACACCCCAAGCCCTGCACAGGCTGCCACAAGCCATGTGCTCCTGGTGGGTTTCACCACAGAGCTGGGTTTCTCTGCTGTTTCTGGCTCCCTGGTGTCACCCAGCCCTGGCTGTAGCCAGGACAATGCCCCTGCTCCACGTGACGCTGGAGGAGGGATTTCTTTCACACTGCTTCTCTGGGAGGCAGGGAAATGAAAACTGGTGTCTGCTGCACAGGCACAGAGGCTCAAGTGGCTGAGGCATGGCAGAGCTGCTGTTCTCACCTGCCCCAGGAAAAGTGATCAGTGACAGAGCTGACCTGACTTGGGATTTGCGACAACAGCAGAAATAACCCCCTGCCAGCCTCAGCTTGCAGACTGCAGCCCCTCTCAGGAAGAAGCACCGAAGAACACAAGGTAAATCAGATACCTGTGCGCTCCATGGCCTTGTGTGCTCCTGCCAACAGCTGCTGCTGTTCTGAGCTGTGTCTCCAGAGCTGAGTAAACCCTGTCAGGACGTTACCACCACCATGTAGGTATTGCACTGATAAGTATTCCTAAGGAAACAAGCCAGCTACCCTACAGCTCCTGGGAACTGGTCTGTTTCTTCTACAAACAAGGTGTAAGAGATTTTCTGTCCCACTACATGCAACCTCCCTCTCGCCATCTGTCCTTATGAGAGCACCAGACTGCCCCCGTGGGTTCTCTGAGAGCTTCGGTGGGGGAAACTTCAGCTGAGAAGGGACCAGAGCAGTATGCAACCAGTATGTAAGCTACTAGTAGTGGTGTTAGTACCACGGAGTGACAGAAGAAATAAACTGTGCCCAGCAGCATTTTGGGGCACATCCCTGCTTCAGATCTCTGTGCTCCCAGTCACGGCACTGAGGAAGGAAAGTGGCTGGTATGAGGAGCCTCACAGCGTTCCTGCTTGCTTGTGGCACTGAAGCAGTCTGCTCTGCGGGCTGAGGCACTGCTATCAAAAGCCTCCAAGTCTTGTGGGAAACTGGCACGGACCTGGGAAAGACTTCTTATAAATGGCTTTCCCTTTGAACTCTTTGCTTTTGGTCTTGCCAGAAGACATCTTCTGTGGTGCACACAACAGACCGCTTGGAAAAAGGCATCCCATTCTTACGCTTTCTGGAGATCCGTGATTAGGTCTTGCATGTTTCCTCTGATGTAGGAAAAGCCATAGATTTATCACACATTGGTATGTGGGATCTTTCTGGGTGTGTAAAGCAACCAACTTCTAAATCAAATCCATTCTTGGCATATGGGAAATACTTTCCAACCCAAACTTAACAGGAATGGCTCTGTCACAGGAGTAAATATTTAAAGCCTGAGGTTTTGGTGAATGCACTGCAGGCACAAGAAAGCCTGAATGTTTTTAGAACAGAGAACAGTTTTAATTGAGTAACCAGTTCTTGTCTCTAAACAAGAATACTACAGCAGAGAACAAAGAGAAACAAGGCTGCCTAGGCTAATTGTAAAGGACATTTATTGGAATTATTAGAGAAAAAGCAACTTCAAAAGGGTTTTGAAAGACTGCCTGTAAGCAGAACTCCTCCATCAAGAACCACAAAGCTGTGGAGCACTGAGCTTCCCACCCTGCCACGCGCAGCTCAGCAAGGCCACGGCTGCTCTCGAGCACTGCCATGAGGCTTGGGGCAGGCCTGAGGCGCAGTGCAGTGGCCTGGGGCCAGCACTGGAGCACACAGGGAGAAGGGAGCTGCACTTCTTTGAGAAATGAGTAACAGCTGAGACAGTAAATCACTCCAAAAGGAGGCTTTAAACTTTATTTTGCTCCAAGATACAGCTGCCAAACTTAAAGCTCAGAGAGGACTCCAAGCAGGATGGAGAAACTGCAAGTTGATGGGGATAACTGAAGTGTGGCTGCACGATGTTTTGAGTCATCATTAGCTGAGCAGCTCTGCTGCCCCAGGAGCTGAGGCCCAGCACTTCACAAAGTGCAAGGCAGGTGAAAGAGAGCTTGCCAAGCACCCCTGCCTTTACAGTGCCCCGTGCAGTTGATGAGCACTGACTTAGCAAACTGTCCCGTTATCTTACACGGAATTGTTACATTGCTTCTTCCTTGCCAGATTTTTTTCAAGCCATGCACCGGTTCCTAGTTAGGGCAGTCACACAAGACTTCCTCTCCCTGCAACCTATAAAACCACAGGCACATTCCCTTTATTCACATCTTAGCATGGGATGCAGACATCGGGCATGTGAGAACTAATCCACAGTCCCTGCTCAAAGCCGGTCCACCCACTGACACCAGCCAACAGCCTGAAGAGCAGCAGAACAAGTCAGCAATGATGGCTTCCTCAGTGCAGCACAACACATTTTAACCTCAAGGCTCTGTGGGCTCTTACCTGAGCGCTTGGTGGCCATTGGTGTGACATTTGTCCAGTGTCCAGTGTGGGGATCGTACCTCTCGACAGAATTCAGAATGTTCAGCCCGTCATAGCCACCTGAAACGGAAGAGAGGAGCAAAACACGGGTCTGAGTTCTGGAAAATGTTTTCTGTGTAGGGAGCAGTAACATGCCCGGTTCACCCTTGGCATGGCACCGCCCTGCGACCAGCACAACTCCCAACGCTGGGCAGGCAGAACACTGAGGATCTCTGCAGCTTGCAGGGCCAGACCTGAGCCAGCTTGGAGCAAGCGCTGGTACTGCCCCTCCAAACCACTACAGCCAGCTTAGAGCTGCACTGCAGAGCCACCTCCAAGCCCGATGCCCATATTCCTAAACATAGCATACGCTGGGATGCCTTGAAGATGAAAGCATAAAAAGCTGAAAGAGCAGTTTCACAAGATAATACCAAAAAATGGTGTTGTGCTGCTTCAGTAAAGGAGCACTGTGCTGGCATCTGCCCTGGGGGACAGCATGGGGACGAGGAACTTGGGAGAGAGAGGTGAGACCCATAAACCAGTGTCCGATATTCAAGACTCCCCAAGAACAACAAGACTGCAACTGATGAGGGCAGAAAATAGTGCTGGGCCTGCCTTTTTTGGTGCCTTGAAAATATCTCCAGAACAAGCTTATTAAGGTCTTTAGAATGATTTGGTTATCTGAAACTCAGGGGTCTCTGAAAATGAAACAAGTGCTGCAGAAAGGAGTTAGAACACATACAGCCTAAGGTACATTTCCAGAGTGCTACAGCCAGCGTTGCTTCGTGTTCTGGGGCATTTCAGCCACTGCCCTGTCCCTGCAAACCTCAGCTGCCACTGCTCACCCCTACGCTTCAGCAGTCCCTCAAATGCAGGCTGACTGTGATCCATTTGCTTCTAACAGCATTTACTGTTGTTGTGGGGCAGATCCAGCCTCAGCCCTGGCTAGGTAGTGGTGAGAACAGGCTGCACTGGCTGACAGCACCGTGCAGTGCTCAGTTCGGTGAAATTAGATCTTCTGGGTGTCTCTTCTAACCCAGATGTGCTGTAACTGGTGCAGAAAGGATCTGTGCTGCCATTTCTGCAAAAAGCACCTATTTGCTGAATGCCTTGAGGTCCTCCGGTACCTACCGAGGCAATAGATAACTCCGTTCGCTACGACGAGCCCCGCTCCTTCCCGTGCTGTCTGCATGTCTCCCAGCATACTCCACTGATCGATGTTGGGGTCGTATCGCTCCATGCTGGTGTGACGTCGGCTTCCATCGAACCCACCGGAAACGTAGATCATGTCTGCAACGTGAGAGAGAGGCTGGACTCACCGCATCGAGGACCAAACGTGCTCACAGAGCAAGAAGGCCCTCACAGATGGAGCAAACCTACAACAGGGACTGCGAAATGCAGGAACAACTGCAGAGCTTGGCACGCTGAGAGCCAAGACGAACCCAGCCTCCTCACCCTGGCTCGCTGCATTAGCCTGCTCACAGACCCAACACACCAAACAAACACAAAACCCATCTGGCCTTTAAATCTGCTTCTTGGTGATGGATAAAAGAAAACATACATGCCCCAGCTATTTATTTTTTTCATCCTGCAGAACATACAGAAAAAGTGGTGTGCCCAAACCCTGCCACCATTAACACCACCTCAGCACCGCCCCAGAGAATGTGATTATAGGGTAGCAAACGGAGAGGATCCAAAAGGCATCAAGACCAGCTCCTTATGCTGGAGAACCTAATGCACATGATGCTTCACAAATCTGTCAAGTGTCATCTTCAAAACGGCCACATTTTTTACAGAAGTTTCATCAGAATAGATACAGTAAGAATTTGAAATGTAATGAATGTTATGTAACCAATATTATTAAGAAGATTACCACTACTTTAACGGCTATAAAACTTCCTCTCATTTCCACACCAATTCTTTATGGCCTGTTTATAACCACTCACTCTTATTCAATTCTTATCCAGTGCTGGATAGTTACTGCTGTACTCCTGTGCTCAGCACTACCCAACACCGTCACCACCCCGAGAGCTTCCCACCCCATAACCCTTCCTTGAGCTGCCATCCCTCAACGCACAGACACATGCCTGAAGAATGGAGACAGAACTCCTCTTGGGATACACACACAAGAAGTTTTCCATTTCTCCATCCAAGTGAGATGCCAGACTTTCAGACTCTCAGAGCCACTGGCTCTGCGTGTGCCAGCTCAGGGCATTTCAGGACGACCAGAGGACAGGAACGACAGAGAACTGCCCTGCCAGTGCAGCGACCTGGACCTACCTCCCAGGGTCGTGGCTCCTGCTAGGCCTCGCCGCACGTTCATCGGAGCTACAGAGTACCAGATTCCATCCTCGTCTGACGTATAATCCAAGCACTCCACAGAGCTGAGGCGCGAGCGGCCGTCGTACCCCCCGATCACGTAGATCCGATCGTGCAGGGACACCGTAGCAACGTAGCGCCTCTTACGGGTAATGCTCTAAAAGGGCCAAGACAATAAAGGGTCAAGGAGAGGAAATAACACCGACATATGTACAGCAACTGCGGTTCTTCCATCCTGTTTCACTGCTCTTTTGGAAAATGGCCAAAGAGACAAATGGCACTGTGGATTTCAAGGGCACAGCCCTGGCTAAAATGTATAAATTGCATCTGACTTCCTCTGCTTCTACTCTTGCTGCCCAGGTTTCCTTGTGCTAAAATATTTTGCATTAGAATGTCAACTTATCCTCTGTCTCTGCTGAGTCTTTGATGCATCTTGGAGGTTTGTGTTCCTCCCACTGGCTCCCTGCAGAGACTGTCAAGGGGAAAAATGTGGAGACTGTGATCTGATGGAAATATCCAAAATTTTTGGCCTCCAAAAAAGAACAGAATTTTGGAGAAGGTAGTGTAAGTTCTTCTGTGACTACAGATGCTAAAGTAGAGGCACTTCTCCACCATTTCACACTGATAAAGCCAATTTTAAATTTCAGTAGAAATAGTCCCCAATGCAGAAGCTCTCTTCCTAAATATATCCTGCTTTGCTCAGAAACAATGCAAGCAGAGATCATGCAGCCTGCCTGAAAGCAGGACTGATTATACTGCTCCTATTGACATTTCAATTATCATTACTAAACTTCAGAGCTTAACACCCCCCTAAGATCAAAAATGCCTCTCATAAATTCTCACTCCCACAACAAAGATGTGGGTCTCTGAAGGCTCATCTCATTAGAAATATGACAGCAAGCTCTCATAAAAAGCTTATTTAGTAAATCTTCAAACATGAAGCAGTTTTAGCATTCACAGTGTAAACCTCATAAACCCTAATGAATTTCTGTCATAAATTCTAAGCAGAATGCAGAGAAACCCAAAGAGGAATTTTATTTAGAGGGTGGTATATGGTCATATGGTGAGTGTTTGATGACAGCAATCTGTAGAGCCCCATGATAGTCAAAACTGGTCCCTTACGGGCAAGAAACTCCACTCCTGAGTCTTCGGGTCGTATTTCTCCACAACATCAATAGGTGACTGCTGGCTGCCAAAGCCGCCGATCACAAGCAGGACTTCATTAGCTCCTAGAGCAAAGAGGGAGAGCAACGTCAGGTCAGTCCCTTCACAACCAAAGGGGCACCTCAAGGCAATCATTTGAGTAAACACCGAGCCTTCCTTGGTGCAAGAAGCAGCCTCTAAATCACCCTTTTTTTTTTAATCACTGTTCTGAAGCAAGCACCTAATGCAGATAAAAGTCACCCGGGTCCCCTCTCGTGTCAGTGGGTAGGAAGAGAGAAACCCTTCCAGGGTGAGTGGCCGTAAGACTAAACTGGGTGCTAGAAGCTGTCCACTGGCGGGCAGTTCCTCCCCATGTTAGACGGACCCTAAGAACACAAGTTGGCTTGTTTATGTCTTCTTTTGTATTCTCTCCCATGTTTCTTTTGTAAACTTCTTAGCCCTGAGAAAGCTGAAGGAGGATGGCTGCTTCCCTCCACCCTCCTCACAAAGAATGGCATTCTCTCCTCATTTACAAGTGACATCCAAAACAGATAGCACCTTCTTTTTTTCCACCATTTCTCCAAGAAGTAAAAGTTAAGCTCACTGAAGCCTGAAAAAATAATGCAATATTTTCCCAAGAATTCTCTCTTATGTCTTAATGTATGTTATTTCAAAGTTGCCTTCCCTTTACTTTCTGTTCTCTCAAAGGGTCCCTGACTTTTTCTTATTTTCTCCTTGACAGAAAAATAAGACTTGTGACCTGGGGAGTTCTAATTTCTTATTTAATTCTGATTTCCCTTATAACGATTGCCTTGAAGGTAGGGTTTCTATCATAGTTTTAGAAACAGATGATCATCCCTGCATTTGTGTAGTAGAGAATTTTAATAGAGTTCAGAGCTATCCAGCTTTTCGTTGCAGAAAGGCTGAACGTTGAGCAACAAAGATTTAGCAAGACCTTGTCCATCCTAAAGCAAAACAATTGCCACTTCAGATGAAGGAGAATAACATAAAATGTAACTTGAAAGGACTCAGAAAAAAGCTCCAAAGACAAATTGGAACTTAGAAAGTTTCCTGTACATTATGACAGTTGATAGCAGGATCAGTTCAGTTTATCCAACAGGAAGTTAACAGGCAACCTGATGACCATTAATAAATGACAGATGATAAGAGCACTCCTGATAGCAGATGGTATTGAATCAGTTTAAAAAAACAAACAAAAAAAAACTTGGACTGAATCTGAAGGAGATGAACCTTTGAAACAAGGTGCAAACTTTTTGCCAATATAAGTAATGAAACAATTCTGTGACATTTCTTTTATCAGTTCAAATATTCCAACCACGAACAAAATGCAATGCCTCTTTCTGAAACAGCGGGCAGAGCAGAACTGAATGTCACTGAAATTGATGGAGGATGTTCCCGGAAAAAAAGAAGACGTGCTGTGGGCTGGACTATGCTGGAGGTCAAACCACATCATAACAATAATGCCTCCGGGCCAAAAACCTAATCAATCTCTCTCTGACAAACCTAATTTGCCCTCCTCTTTTAGTATTTAAATTGTTTTCCATCCCCTAAAACAATGTTAATAACAAGAATTGGCCACAAAGCTTTTTTTCAGGGTCCCTCTCCACAAGCAGCAGCACTGGAGAGCACCCAGGGAGGGCTGCTTGAGGGAAGAGGTGTCAGTGCTGGCACCAAGGGCAGAGCTCTGCGAGTGCAGCCGGGGTAAAGGCAGAGAGAGTGAGTCTGGAGACATGGGAACGGGAGTCAGGTGAGGAAGGGCCATTGTTAGGAAGAAGCTGAAAATGCTTTTTCTTCTCCTGGGGGTAATTCCTACTGTTTGTGCTACTCCCAAGAGCTTCCAGCCTTAAGCCAAGCACTTTTCCCAACAACTCAACAACTGTGCTCAGTAGGAGGCACTGAAAGAGCAGATAAAACCAGCGTTTTTTTTTTGTCCTAAGAGATTAAGTTGAAAAAGAGGTTAAGAAAAATGTACCTCTGAAAGGAATGAGACACCTCTCTGTCTTCCTCCTTGTGCCTTCCCCTCTCAGATTCCCTGTTGAAAACTAACCTTCACTCTCATACAGTTGTTTCTTTTTATCTCTGACGCTGATAACTGCCTTTTCAGATAGGAAGAAACTCTTCACAAACTTCTTGGACAGTTGCATGCTAAGCAAACATATCTGGAAGCACCAATAATTCAGTAAACTCTTTTTGTGGTTACAGCAGAGGCCTTGGATTGAAGGTAACCAACCAGTCCCTGCGCTGCCAGTAAGTACCTGTGCTACGAAAACACACTTCTGTCCCCTGCTCCCCTTTCTTTACCACAGGGGACTGTGTGTCAAGAAGTTACTGCTGCAAAGCTCTTCTGCACAATTACAAGGCACTGTCCAGCACCTGTAGCACAACACCTGCCAGTTCCCCAGACCTTCTCGGTGACCTTGCCCTTGCTGCTCACCTAGACGTGCTCTTGTCCTGGGTCCCTGCATCTGACTGCGGAGCTCAGGCCGAAGATGAAATTTCTTAGCTTCATCGACGAGGTCTCTGCACTGCAGACTGCATCGGATAAAAGGCTGAGGAAAAACATGAGTCACTGGTATGCGTGAGGTATTTTAAGATCCCTGCTGAGAACTGTCCTGAAGCCAGCTCTGGTCAATTCAGACAGCATTGAAATGACCTGTGTGCAGGCTGCTGCTAGTAGTGTCATGGTGCAAATGCTGCATGCAAGGAAAGGCAAAGACAACGCAAAACTAAACTGCAGCTGGAAAGACATGGCTCGTTTCTCATGCAAAGTCTGGCACTGCAGGTTCCATGATAAAAATACTTACATTGGAAAACTAAGGGAAATCCACTTCTGCTACATGTAAGCCAGCAGAAATACATTTGTGAAGGGGGACTGGCAGGGACTGAAATCAGTTTGGCTGGATCTGCCCCACATCATCAACTCAACATGCACCTGCCATTGAAGACGAAACAAGGAGCAAAGCACAAACTAAGCAGTTTTGCTGGGTCCATTAGCTCGATCCCTATACACACGGGACACTGAGCTACAAAGAGACTACAGAAGCAGGTAAGGTCTCCTTCAAAAGAAGCTGGGGGCGCTGCACCCAAGGACAGCCATATCCTCCGTGAGTAACACAGAGTGTCGTTCCCCTCCCCTGAATGTTCAGCGTTCAGTTCCCTTTGGGTGTTTCATGTTGCAATAAGCTAAGATTTATTTTTACAATTTCTTTGTGGTTGTGCAAGGACAGGGTGTTCAGGGCAGATGATGCCACACAGCCAACCCTCTTCCCTCCACACTGTTCCAAGATGATGATGTCTTACCATCATCACCTCTCACCTCCAGTTTAGAGGTGCCATCCTGGGCAGTAAGAAAGCTGGGGCCCTATCCACACAATGTGTTCGCCTGCTTTTGGAACAGACTTAATTGTTCTGGGACCAGTCCCTCTTGTGTTAACCTCAATTTCAGTTTAAGGTGGACCATACCAATCTCACTAAGCACATTTTAGCCCTGGCACTACTTGACTACATACTTGCTGACCCTATTTAAGAACACCTGTAGTAGGCAGCCATTGGCACATCAGAGATGATGTTGCTAGATCAGCCACTTTCATATGTAACCACATCTTCACTTTGCACTCAGCACTTGATGAAGGCTAGTAGCCACAGCTCACATCACCATCGGACAAGGACACTGGTTTGAACCTTCTCTGCACCTTCCTGTCAAAGCTTACACTGGGTCAGCATCACTTATTTGGAATTAAACTTGCACTGCAAAAGCTTCATGATCTGTAATCACCCACATTTTGGTTTGCCTCTGCAACACCCCAGCCACGCGAAGGATTACATCTGGCTCTCAGCTGTGTGTTGACCCTGGACCTAACGTGCTGCTTTTCTCCTCAACCAAGGGCATCTGTACCTAAAACAACTCCTGATGAGGCCCTCTCCAGCCATTTCCTCCCTAGTATCCCATGCCAACAGCCTGTCTCCACCTACAGGAGACCCACTAGGGCTTATGAATGGAAGACAGAAAGCTCCTTACAGAAGGTAATAGATGAGAACAGAGAGGTGCTACCTATCAGGAGACAACTGAGTAATTCCTCTGGATGGGACTCCCTCCCAGCTGAAAGCTGGATGCTGTCACTGTTGGCACAGCAAACTACCTCCGAGTAAAACAGGGAGCACTGCAGCTGAACGGGGACACCTCTGTAGGCTCAGCATCAAAAAGCACTGGTAGGGAGAGCAGCTTCTGACACACTGTTAGGACAGCAGGACTCTAACCAGGGAGCACACAACCACACACAGACACTGGCTCCCAGCTGTTCTGTGCCCTGGACACGGGGCTGCCGATACCTCGGTGTCGATGACATCGGTGATGTAGCGGGGGGTGAGAAGCGGCATGCGCACATACTGCAGCAGCTCCGGCAGCGATGCTTCCCGTTCTTTTTTTGAGTGCTTCACCCAGTTTATAACTGCCTCAAAAACAGGCTCTTCGGAGTCCACCTGGAAAGAGGAGACACACACCCATCAGACCGCAGGGCGATTCAGCAACTGCCCATGGAACAGACAACTTTCAGACTGCTGATGCTGCTCAGAGCCAGCAAGAGAGCAGGACATCTCCAGTTAGTCTGTTATGGAAATTTCTGTGAGCAGTATTTACAAGCACTGATTACAAGCCCTTATTTTCTCTTCCTTAAAACTGCAATTGGTTTTTCCTTATAGCTGAGATCAGCAACTGACAGTACAAGTACCAGAAATGCCCTATGGTAGGTGGGACCTGGCCCCCAAGTGCTGAGAGAGCCCAGGGAAAGGCTGCAACTGCCCAGGGTTCCCACTCGGAGCAGGGGTCATTGTCCTGCAGTCTGCAGAGTGCCAGCATAAAGGTGACCAGAATCACGTCTCCTTTTTAGAGAAAAGTGCCTCACGTTAACCCCTGCAGCCTAGTGCCCACACGCTGCCCTGCTGACACTCTAGTCATAACACTGGTCTTAACACTAGTCATAACACTATACCTGAGGTCTTTTACTTCAATTTACATTTAAGGAACTACAAAAGACTGGATTTCAAAGTGGAGAAGGTGTGAACACTGCTGTTCTGACTCTAACTTATTTCTCCTTCCACTTAGGACCCCCACATGCCAGTGCTTACACCACTTCCAGAGCTTACACTGACTGAGCCAACTAAATTTGGCACTTTTAGAGAACCTCAGGTGCTTCGGACAGCTTTACAAATACAGCAGCTCCAGTGCATGCTGAGCACGACTGTGCAAGATTAATCTGATAATGAAAAGATAAATAATTAATTGTAAAGAGACCTATTACATATTATTTGGGCTTGATTTTCTTTTTGCAGGTCTTCAGATTGTCCAATTTAAAAGCAAGTGAGCCATGAATTTATTATGATCATCATTATTACGATCAACTTACATGAAGATAAAAGGAGACCTGTAACAACAAGACCGAGTCTTCCCACCCATATAGGACCAGTACACTTTGAAGTTCATTTTGCAGCTATTTGTTGAAGAATGTTCTGAAGCAGGGAGCCATAGAGGTTAATTATGTAAGGCAATTCTTCCGTGCCATTGATTTATATTTGTAACACTGCAATTAGAAATGGCCTCTTTATTTTTGAATTACAGGGAAAGAACAATTAGAGCTCACAAAAGGAAAGCAGGGTACTTCGCTGCTTCCAATTTTCCCCACTTCCTCCAAAAATGCAGTAATCAACACATCGTTTTATTCCCTCCTTAACTGACTGTTCCCTGATACATTTAACAGTTTTGTTGTATGTTAAATCATGCCTGTTTTTTTTGATATATGACAGGTAACACTAAATAGAACACCACAGTGAAACCCTACTCCAAAAGAAGACCTACTTCTCCAAAAGCCAGGGGACTTTGCAGCTGGTGCTTTCTCAGTACCCTCTAATACATCACTTTTGCTCCTGAACACATTACCCCTGTCCAGAGCAGCAGAAGTGTTATGCCAGTACTCACCACAACCATAAGCTTCACTGCATTGAAGCTGCTGCCTGTTAAATACCAAACACACTCAGCCTTTTTCCACTGCTGATCACTGCCTACACCAGGGTTTTTCATTGCTGTCTTGCATGTTCTTTCTCAAGCAGGTTTATCAACAAGAGGCTATCAGCGTGGCAGAAGGCCACTTTCAGAGCAGACTTTCAAAGCATACATTAAGACTTCTCCTCTGGCTAGCCCTGCACTTGCTTTTCAGGAACTCTACCAGAGGTATCACTTACATGGGTTTGTTTCTAAGAGCTTGTATTACCGCAAACTCTGAATAATGATTTAATCACTTCTTTTAGAACTGAAGCAAACATTAACTCTCACTGAAATCCATCTTAATTAAATAAACCAGTGTCCTCACAATTTTCACCTTATTTCCATTCTCAAGAAATACATATTCATAGAAAACTTGGAAAAAGAAGTATTTGACAAGTTCCAGCCAAGTAGTAAATCCTCCAGAAACTAACCCTGAGGGAACAGAATATGTACCAGACTCACAGGCAATAAAATCTTCTTGTAACTCCCTGAAGAATCTGACTACCCTGCACCATCATGCATTCTGCTCCTTGTAAAGCAGAGGACACCCAAATGCCTGGCATGACACATGCATTCCTTGTGCTGCTGAGTAGCATACAAAGGTCTACAAATAGAAGTTAATGTCTTGCGGGTATTTCTGATATGTAGGCATTGAGACAATTTGTCTTTGTAACCTCCGAATGCTCCTCCAGGGAAATGAGGAGGAAAGGGAACAAGAACTCTGCAGAGGTAACCAACTGTGATTGCCTTACTTGCAGGAAACGTTTGCCTGACAATAAATTCTTACACAGAAGTTGCATGTTACTCATCAGTTTGAGGTTACAAGGCCGAAAAGTTAGAAGAATTTTTTTGGAAATTAAATTCCAAAATTCAGGAACTGAATGTGTGAAATCCACCCTAGAAGTGTGGACTTAACCCCAACTGGTTTCAATGCTTTACTTTAACGCTTTGCAGGGTAACAGTACTTTTCAGGTTTTACCTGAATTTCATCACACTTGATGAGCTTTTCAACCTCTTCTTGATTTAAGAGGATAAACTCTTCATGCTGAACCACCTCTGGAAAATGTTTCTGGCTGAAGACCTCTGCAGCTTGCATTAGATCAACACAATTGTGTGTCTCAGCAAAATCCCGAATGCCCAAACAATTTGATGGATCCAGCTGGCTTTCTAGAAACTCACAGCAAGCTTGTTTCACACCTACGGAAAATTGGAGGGGTGAATGAGCACTGCATGCTTACTATCAATCCTCTGCTTTGGAAAGGGCTTCAGAAAAGAAAGTTCTAAACAATAATGAAAAACCAACTCAAAAACAAGCTTGAAATACACATGCATGCAAACATTTCTTCTGAGGAAAATGGTAACACTAAGCAGAAGAGCAATTGTTTGGGCTGTTTCAATCTGTCTATTCTGTTTGCACATTAAAAAAATCCAATACTAGGACCTGACTCAAATCTGAGTGGACCCAGCTTCATGGACTATAAGCCAAGAATGTATATGCTAGTGGATATGGCCACCAGATTTTTTTTAAGGCTTTCTCCAATGTCTTTTTGATAGGTGCCTTGGATAGCTCCATACGCACACATCAACCAGGTTGTTATGATCCAGACACATTGTGATGGCAAGGCCAAGCGATATCAAGGATTTGCTTATTATTACGTTGACTTCTTCCTGGGTATTCTCATGCAGATATAAAGTAGCCCAAACCATGGAAAAATAATATTTTATCATCTTTTTTTCCAGACAAGTCAGTTCCTCTACCAATTGTGCAGTTTCTGCTGATTCTTGGCAATTACCTTTTAGCTGAAGCAGGCATGCTGCTGGGAGCAGTTCTTGGACATTTTCTACTGTCACGTGAACAGTTTCTGTATACACAAAATCTAGCAGGATTTCCATGGTGGAAGCTGTCAGTCCCTGGATATCTACATAGGGTTTATCCTTCTCCGAGAGCTGTAAATCAGAAAGGAGACAAAGGATTATTGTTCAGTAATCTGGTCAAAAAGGCAACAGTGCTCAGCAGTTTAGTTTATTACACATCTGGAAGAGAGTCAAACTGCATTTTAAAATGAGCAAATTGAGATTGAGCAGAAATTAATTATCATACACAAATGGCACGTGTAAACTTTATCTTCTGTGAGAAACTCCGAGCTTTACTAGAAGGAACAGTTCAGGGGGTTCCTTTCTGGGCTGGATGTGTAAGACATGCCGCAGCTTACATGGTGTCCCCACCTTACTTCTCTGCTCTAAAACCAATCCAAATAAAAATCTTTCTTAACTTCAATTCCTGATCCATCCTGTTCGCTTATGGTGAGAGTCTCTACAAAGAATGGCTAGCTCAAAAAATTCAGTTGAAGGTTGAAATACTGATGTTAAACTCACAATTAAAGTACGTAGAGTGATGGTACTTAAACAACCCTGACTTTGTCTCCTTGCTCTTTTATCATCTCTAAGATGCATCATTTTGGAATAATTACTTTTTCTACGGAATGTTACTGTTGGGAACAGTAAATTCTGAGAATCCACCCAATTTGCACCTCTATGGCTGCAGAACCGAGATTATATTTTCACAGAGCATCAGCTGTTGGTGGTTTAATGCAGCCATTACGAAGCTGCTGGCACAGCATCTGATGATTCACGAACAATGGGCTGGCAGGTGGAATTACTAATCACACCCCGCACAGAGCTGTGAGCTCCTGTCAGCATGAATGGACCTCAACGGAAGGATGTCGCCATGCAGCACGCTGCAAAACTCAGCTTTTTTTCCCTGAGAATTCTGAAGAAGTGGTCAGTATCAGTGCAAGCACAATTCAGATGAAAACCCTGGACGTTTCTTGCTAAGAATGAGACTGAAGCTGGTTATGGACAGAGTGAGCGAAGACTCAGGGAAGAGGAAGCATGATCAAAGCATCATCACTTGGCTTAGAATTGGCCACAGCTGGGGAAAAATGCCGTGATACACGATTAGAGAAAATAAGAGCAGTCAGATGTCCTCCTACAGAGGCAGCTGATGACACAGCAACAGCAGAGAAGCCTCTGCTGAGACTGAGCCACTTCTGCAATGCAGGGATCATGGAATCAAGAGAAACATGGGAGGGGGGAATGGTGACGCTCAAAGTAATTTGAAGGAGAGGCCTTTCAAGTCTGTTGACACATTTAAAAAACTTCATGGCATCCAGAATCAGACAGGAAAAGGAAATTACCTCGTTTGACCTGCTGTGCGACATTTAGAAGTCAAAATGAGTTCATGGCATGGGTTAGACAAACCATTCCCCAAAACAAGACCGAGATGCTTTGTGCAACAGATAAAAGGCACAGTGCTCCGCTGGCCATGCAGACACAACACCGTGAGTGGCACGGGGCATAACCCAGGGACCAGTTCTGAGCAAAACCCCTTGCAGCCCAACCCTGACAAAAGCCACGCGTTGCAGCTCACCGAGTAGTCCCCAGGTTTGCTGAGGATGAGCAATCAAATGCAAAGGAAGCCCTTGCAGAGGCTGTTGGCACGTTTTGCAATCCGGCATTTTGAGTTCCCTGAAGTTACAGCCAAGGCCAAAACACTCCGTACCCACAAGTGTTTGGATGGCAACCAAGTGCTGCCCTATTACACTCACCAGCATACTTGTCATTAACACACAGAGGAAGTAGGGCCACTTTGAGGCTTCCCAAGCTGTCATTTCCTGGAAAGAACCTTCTCCCACAAACACACAGTAATTGCCTGTGTCACTTGGCAGGTTTGTCATTTTGGGGTTTCCGTACGAAAAAGCAAATTTGGATAGAGACTAAGCAAAAGAAGTAAAACCCTTACAGCAGCAGCAGTGTGGGGGCATGAGAGAGAGAGAGAGCACTCATGCCCACTGGGCACTGGATGTACTGATCTTTCTAGGAAGAACCGTATCTATGAATTAAGGTCATCACAATGTTAGAGTTAAAATGAGAGTATAAAGGAGCAAGGAGAGATAATCTCAGCTCAGATCCAAAGTACACCCATCCTCAGCCTTCGTTAGCAGCCACAAGAATGTTCTGCAGCACGTAGAGCAACTGGAGCTCTGTAGACCGTGTAGATGAAGTCAAAGGCACCGACAAGAACATAGGGGAAAACACAAAGAGCGAGGACAGTGCTATTAAGCTGCATATGCTGAAGCTATCAATAAACTGAGAACTTCGGCCTCCAGGGACTGAGTTTGCTTTGTGTACTTTCTTTTATAGAAAATATATATTTCCTTTACGCAGATAACGAGCATAAAGCTGTCAAATTTGCAAATTTCTTGAAGACAACAGACAGCTAGAAATACAGAATATTGAAATATTGAAGTCAGTAGATAGAAAACACACTGTTATGTGGTTGGTCCACGTATGTCTTATTTTGGTTGCTTCCCTCGGAACTACAAAAACGAAGATAGCTGCTCACCCCACCCAGCACCCAACAAAGGAAGGGTTGGCAAACCGACTGCTCCACCACCGTTAGTCAGTGCTGGGTAAAACAACGAAAGAAATGATTCTCTCCTGCAGGCAGCACTGGGGTAGCAGGAAGGTCTTTAGGACCTTTGGGCTTAGTCATGTTTCTCTCTGCTGATGGAGAAGTTGCTAGGATGAGGAAAGCATCCTCTGTATGAAAAAGCCACAAAGATTGACTCAAACTTGCAAAAGAGAAGGCCTGGCACTCCTCTCTGCTAACAATATGAAGGAGTGCTAGCTTCGACTCTAACGTTACCTTTCAGTGATGCAGAAAAACAGCACGTAGGTAATGCGAGTTAATATAAAAAATATTGTGAGAGCAAAGGTCCTCGCAAGTGAGATTTCGTGAGTAAAGTAACAGGGGCCCCAGGTCCCAGCCCCAAAGGTTGCATCCCCTTTGCAAGAGCAGCACCACAGCCCAGCAGGTACCAGCTATCAGCCAGGCTGTGAGTGAACCACCTCCATTTCAGTTTTCCAGTGGCTGCCCTAGTTCACCACCCGGCCTAAGGTGCACGCCACAGCCCCCCCAGCTCTGCCCTCGGGCTGGTAACCTCGGAAGGCAGATATTCAGAAGCAGGAAGACACAAACCAGCCCTAGAAAAATCGGGACAAGTCTCAGAACCTCCTGCTTTGCCAGCTCCCTGCTGTGCGGGTTGGCCACGCAGCAGACCGTGATGTGGGGCACAGTCCCAGCCGCTGCCTCTGCTCCCCCTGTGCCATGACAGAGGGCTCTGGGGCTGCTGTGCGGGCACCCAGATGCACCAGGAGATCCTGGACTGCTGTTGAAAGGATCCAGGGGGATTTGGGGCCACTGCGAGGGGATCCAGGGGACTCAGGGGCCTCTACGCAGAGAAATCCAGAAGGATCCAGAGCCACCACCTGGAAGTATCTGATGGGGTCCCAAGGGGACCCCATGCAAAGGGATCCAGAAGAACCAAGAGCCACCACCCCATGGGATCTGGACCCACCATGCCAATGGATCCTGAGGGATCCAAGATGCCCACCCAACTGGAGCCGGGCCCACCACGCCAATGAATCCAGAGAGAGCTGGGCCCACCACAAAAAAGGGATCAAGAGGGATCCAAGACCACCACGCAACAGGACCTGGGCCCACCATGCGAAGGGATCTGGAAGGACCCAAGACCCCCACCCAACAGGATCCTAAGGGACCCAAGACCCCCACCCAACTGGATCCAGAGGAATCCAAGACCCCAACACAACTGGATCCGGGCTCACCAAGCAACAGGATCCAGAGGGACCCAAGCCCACCACCCAGCTGGACCCAGGCCCCACACCAAGAGATCCAGAGGGACCCCAGACCCCCACCCAACTGGATCCAGGCCACCATGCCAAGGGATCAAGAGGGATCCAAGACCCCCACCCAACTGGATCTGGGCCCACCACGCAATGGGATCCAGGTCTACCATGCAAAGGGCCCCAGGCCCACCACACGAGGGATCCAGTGGGCTCCCACCCCCCCAACCCGGACCAAATCCGGGCCCACCCCACCACGGGGGGGCTCAGCGCCCAGCGCCCTCCCTCAACCGCCGACCTCGCTGGTGAACATGGCGCAGAAGTAGTCGCTGCAGGCGGCCAGCACGATGCGGTGGGCCGGGAAGTCCTTGTGCTCCACGCGGAGGGTGACGTCGCACAGCGTGCCGCTCTTCCGCAGGGCGTTCATGGCGTTCAGGATGGATTTGGCGTGCGAGTTGGTCATGATGTCCTTGGGGGGGGCCATGGCGCCCGGCACCTGCGGGCACAGCCAGCACGGCCACATGGCCCCGCCGCCCCGCCAGGGGGCGCCCGCCCGCCACCGCCCCTCCTCCTTCCTCCTCCTTCCTCCTCCTCCTCCCTGCCCCTCCCGCCCCGCTACCGCCGCCCCGGGTCCCTCCGCCCGGCAGCGCCGCCCCCCCCTCCTCTCCCGGTGCTCCCCCCCCCCCCCTTCTTCCCCCTCTGCCGCCCTCACCGGCCCCGCGGCCCCGCGCCGCCCCCTTCCCTCCCGCACCTCTCCCCCGCCCCCGCCGCGCGGTGATGGCGTCAGCGGGCCGCGACGCCCCGCCCCCATCGGGGGGGGCTCCGCGCCGTTGCCTGGTAACGGGCAACCCCCCCCCCCCCCCAGCCTGAGGGGCAAAGTTGTGTTTTTTTAATTTTTATTATTTTTGTGGGGAAATGTGGTTTTTCAAGGGGGAATGGCACTCCCGGTGCCTGCTCGGAAGGGGTCGTGCAGGCGTGGCGCTGGGGGGGGTGGTAGGGTAAGAGGGGGAAGGTCCTGCTGCCCCGAAAATGAAGAAAATGAAGAAAAAGAGGGCGAAACAGTAAAAAACAGAAAAGTGGTGAAAACAGTGAAAGCAATTAAAAGAGTAAAAGCAATTAAAACAGTAAAAAACAAGACAAACAGTAAAAATGAGACAACCAATAAAAATGAGACAAACAGTAAAATCAATAAAAAACTGCAAAATCGGTAAAATCGGTAAAAAATCACAGGTGATCTTGGAGTTCAGCTGTGTGCTGCACCGGGCTGCTCCTCTGAGGACATGCAAGTCTGTTTTCAGTTCTTGTGTTGCAGTTTCTAGGAGAAAAAGTCAATTACTGATTTTCAGGTCATGCTACGAGCCCTGGTTTAAGAATTACCTTTAATCCTCCCCAGGCCAACTGCCTGATGACTGTTCACCAGTTGAAAACAAAGCAAGGTTTTGGGGAAGAGGGGATTTCTTGACATCGCTGGAAAAACAGGCCAGCGTTTGGGCACTCACGCTTTCCTTCAAGCTTGGAGCAGAAGCAGGCCTCTCCGGATTCTTCCTCAGCAGTGGTTTACCAGTTTGGGATGGGCAAGATTATTGTGGCTACAGTCATGGAAGAACCCAGACTCTTTGATCCTCCACTTCTTACATGTTGATTTACATTCTGGCTTTACTCTGGAGCAGGCCAACTGGATCCCCAGGGGAGAAACTCATGCTTGCTGTCAAGGGAGTGGTGGGAAAGGGAACCAGGCTGGGCTCCATCCGCAAAAGGTAGCTGGGATGTCACCACTGTTGTATTCTAACCAGAGCACAAGGAGAAAGGGGCTCCGTATGCGTTTTCTAGGGTCCAATATTAAATTCATCTCAGTGTTCCAGTTAGAACACAGGTTGCCTATGTGGTGGCCCGTGGGCAACCACAGCTCCCCCAAAACATCCCATAGTTCCTTCCACTCTTCCTTTTATTCAATATCCTTCTACAAAAGTCTGTGAAGAATACAGGGCAACCCCCCTCTGCTGGGCAGAGCAGCAGTTCTGTTGCTGTTTCTCATGCCTGGAGCCATGAGGAGAGCTGGAAGCTGTCCAGCTGGTAACATATTGGCACAGCAGCACAAGGTCTCTTCCCTGGGTATGGGCCGGGCTGATTACACCCGAGGACAGTGTAACTGCAAATTAAAAACCCAACAACTCCGAAAGGTCAGTAGCAAGACTGCAACTGTCCTTCTGGAGCAGCACGCCTTTTCATGAGTGCTGTGAAATATGTGGAAGGGAGACTTCCAATGAGCCAGGACAGCCAGGGAGTAGTTGTGTTTGCGTGCGCACTAACAGCATGAACAGGGTGGGCAGAGGGTAAGGATACAGGACTCAGTCTAGGGCAGGAGTGCTGTCAGAGTGCTGTCTGCAGCCCAGAGAAGCTGTCAGAAGGATGCACATCCCCTAACTGAGCGGAGATATATTCACTGTCATCTCAGAGCTTTGCCTTTTCTTGTCAGAGAAACAAAAAGTTGAACAAAAAACATGAGTTGCAGTCTGCACTCATGGCAAGATTCACAGCAGATTCAATTTCTTCCTGAATTGCAGGGTGGTCTTCTCTTCCTCCATCTGCAATACGGACATCCCAACCCTTCCCTGAGACGGCAGGGAAGTCCTCTGATTATGACTGTCTTCTCTTTGCTCTTCATGGCAGAAAATGGGGGCTGTGGTCCATGAATGTAGGCTTAACAGGGAAAATACTTGCAAATCTAACATCATTCAGATGCTTTAAGTCAAAACTCTGATCCTCCCCCAAGACACCATCACATAACTATTATGTAAACTGCCTCAAAAAATTGATGAAATGCCTCTTGAAAAAATACCCTACCTCCACCATGGAGCTATTGTGAAAACCCACTGAAGAGACCAAAAATACTGCCAAGGAACTATTGAGGCTAAGCCTTAATCCCCACAAAGGAGCTATTGTAAATAAGACTGTAAAAATTGAGGGATCGTTTTCTAAATCCCTTCAGAAGGCCCCCATGAGAATGCTTCCAAAAATCACACAAAAGATTTTTAATACTGGATTCTTTGTGGGATTATTTTATTTTAGTTTTATTTTTTTAATGGTCCCTTTAATGGGGTGTTTATGGCTATGCTTTGACATTACAGATGGCTTCCAAAATAGCTTCTATGTGGGGTATTTGGGGCAATTATAGAATCACCAAGACGTTCACTGTAAATCCCTATGGTTGGACTCCAGGGCAGCTTCACAACTGCCTTGAGGCTGTTTCATCAGTAGTACCCTACAGGCATTTTCTGAATATTCCTTTGATGGGATCACTGAGGCATTTGATAAATTGCTTATGGTGGGGCCTTAGATCTATATTTTTCAAAATTGCCTTTGGCTGTGGTTCTGTGGTTTCTGGTATGCTACATCTGTAGTTCAGAATTTTGTTCTAGCTCACAGAGGAGTCACGGAGTAGTTCCTGGACAGGAACTTTAGATGATTTTTCAAATTCGTCTTGGCTCTGTCCATTAGGTGAGGTCTTTGAGAGAGTTTAAAATTACTTTTGGATATCAAGGTTTCTGAGTTGGGGAGTGTCTTCAGGAGTGTTTTAGGAAATGTCTCAGAAGTGTGATCTGAGAAACACTTAAAAAAGCATCTGATGCCATCTCTTGTTCATCTTCAAAATGGCATGTGTGCCTGGGCTGGGGTTTAGATGTTTGTTAGGTGTGATCTGTCAGGTACTTTCAGAAAGTACAGCATCCTCTACCGACCATGCAAGGATGATACAGGAATAAGCCACAAGGTTGTGATCCGGTGATAGAAGGATGCAGAGATGCATTACTGCAGCCGTGGCCGCACACCACGCGAGGGCGGAGTGGCTCCAAGTCTGCTGGAGCACCTCTACAAAGAAAGGGCAGTCCCAGCAACAGCGTTGTAAGAACCCAGAGGGTACGGAACACAGGAAAGCAGATCCTACAGTGTTTCCTGCAGCCTTTATGTAGTTCAGCAGAGCCAGGTGAAGCTTGCTTTAGATGTGCTTTGCAACTCAGAATACTTCACAACGTTATTTCTAAACCAGCATGTTAGGTAACAAGGGCCAGGGGCATATGGAACGATGTGAGCTAATATTTTATTTGTTCGTTAACTGAAAGGCCTATATGGAAGTGAAGGAAAATTAAACAGGTAGATGTCTCTGTGCCTATATACTGGTGAAAAAGCTGGTCCTTTGAGAATCCTATCTGGATATCTCTAAATTTTTTCAGTAAAGGCTGCTCTGTTGATATGGCATTTTGCAGAGCTGTTTCCTCTAGTAAAAAACAAAACAAAACAAAACAAAACAAAACAAAAACAACAAAAAAACCTTAATACCCAGCTATCTCTAGTATAGGTTTAAATATGACAACCACAAGGCCTTCTCTTTTTACTGCAATAATGCAATGGGGCCATCAATGTGCTCTGAGTGACATGGTCGTTGGGGTGCGAAATGGATGGGAGGCCTTTTATGCAGGAAAGATTGCTGCCATAATGGGCTTTAAAATTTTATGGGGATATGTTTCTATGAGCCATAATAGGTATCCATAAAGTTAAACAAGAGATCACGATGAGCATTATTAAGCTCGCAGGAGAGATGAAATCACCAGAAAGTGAAAGTTTACCAATATCTAGAAATGTAATGGAAATGGTTTTCTTTATTTGAAAGTCCTCAAGGTCCGACACCAAGCCGTTACCTGTATGTGTGCACACAGAGGCCCTACAGAGCTTTTCCAGGCAGGCTGAACATGCCCATCCTTACTGTCTGCCTTGCTTGTGGGGCTTGGCCTGTGGGGCTGAGCCTCTCCTGTCTGATGCAAGGTAGTGAGAAAAGCTGTAGGCAGTTCAGACTCCTTCCAGAAAGGTTATTTTCACCTTGAG